AGATGCTTTTATTACAGGTATTATCCTAGTATGTCGTCGACCTGCATCTGTATTGATTGATCAAGGGTCTACAATCTCTTATGTGTCTACCTATTTTGCTGCTTAATTTGATATAATGTGTGATAGCATGAATGTACTTATTCGTGTTTCTACACCCATGGGTAAGCCCTTAGTGGTGGATCAAGTGTATCGATCTTGTCTATTTCTTTGGCTGGGTATGACACTTGGGTAGACTTAATCATTCTGGGAATGGTAGACTTTGATGTCATCTTGGGTTTGAATTGGCTTTTTCCTTATCATTTTTTCATTGATTGTAATGCTAACACTGTGACTTTAGCGATTCATGGTGTTCCGAGGGTTGAATTGAATGGTGTTAGTGGTTCTTATCCTACCAAGGTCATCTCTTTTATCCATGCTCAGAGATTTGTGGAGAGAGTGTGTTTTTCTTACTTAGATTTATTCGGTATACTAGTGTTGAACCACCTCAAAGGGACTGTGTTCAAGTGGTTCAGGAGTTTCCCGATGTATTTCCTTCTGATCTTCCAGGTTTTCCTCCCGATAGGGATATTGATTTGGCAATTGATTTGGAGCCAAGCACTAAGCCTATTTCTATCCCTCAATATCATATGGCTCCAGCAGAGTTGAAAAAATTGAAGTATCACTTGCAGGATTTATTGTGTAAGGGTTTTATTCGCACTAGTGTATCACCTTTGGGTTCCCCTATATTTTTTGTGAAGAAGAAGGATGGGACAATGAGGATGTGTATTGATTACAGATAGTTGAACAAGATAACGGTGAAGAATAAGTATCCTCTTCCACGTATTGATGATATATTTTATCAGCTATAGGGAGCATCATTGTTCTCTAAGATTGACTTGAGGTCTAGGTATAATCAGTTGAGGATTAGCGCATCAGATATCCCTAAGACAACTTTTTGGACCCGATATGAACATTATGAGTTCCTAGTGATGTCATTCGGATTTACTAATGTCCCTGCAACATTCATGGAGTTGATGAATGGGATGTTTTTATCACTCCTTGATTCTTTTGTGATTGTTTTGATCGATTACATCTTAGTTTACTCCAAACTGAGGAGGACCATGTTCGATAACTTGAGTATTGTACTTCAGAAGTTTAGAGAGGACAAGTTGTATGACAAGTTCTCAAAGTGTGACTTATGGCTTCTATAGCATTCTTGGGACACGTGGTGTCCAAGGAGGGTATTAGAGTAGATCCGGCAAAGATTGAGGCAGTTATTGGTTGGATAGGACCTACATCACCTACTGAGATTCAGTGTTTTGTGGGATTGGCAGGCTATTATCGACGATTTATTAAGAGTTTCTCAAATATTACAGCTCCATTGAATAGACTGACTCGACAAGATGTGGATTTTCAGTGGTCTGATGAGTGTGTGCGGAGCTTTCAAAAACTCAAGGCTTTGTTGACTTAAGCTCCTGTGTTGACTCTACCGGAGGAGGGTGTATACTTTACAGTGTATTGTGATTCTTTAGGAGTTGGACTGGGTGGTGTGTTGATGCACAAGGGGAAAGTGATTGCTTATTCTTCTAAGCAGTTGAAATCCCATGAAAAAATCTACCCTACTCATGATTCGTAGTTGGCTGCTGTGGTATTTGTACTTAAGTTATGGCGTCATTATTTGTATGGGGTAGATTGTGAGATCTTCACTAATCATCATAGTCTTCATTTTTTATTTAGTCAGACGGATTTGAACTTAAAGCACCGGAGATGGCCTGAGTTGCAGAAGGACTATGATGTGACCATTCTATATCATCCAGGGAAGGCCAATGTGATGGCTGATGCTCTGAGTAGGAAGACTCATAGCATGAGGATTCTTGCAGCGCTTAGTATTGAGGATATACCATTGGCTAGAGATGTGCAAATATTAGCTAACAGTCTTGTCCGCAGCGGGGACCCATTAATGCATCTTTGCCGACATCTGATGGTGGTCAGACATCTAAGGGTTTTTATATCCAGGGTCAGTGCTCGTATGGTCCACTGCAGCGACCTACAGGCCGTGGAAATTATAGTGGGTTTTCAGGGTCCTCACAGTTGTTCCCTTGTCAGAGAATTTGTTCTACTTATGGATTTCCTAATCACCTGATGCTGCAATTTACTTCTCAAAGGGTCGTGGTGATCCTCGACCTAATTCTTCATTTTAGACTAGACCGCCATCACCATAGAGCAGAGGTCGTGGTAGAGTTCATTCAGGTATAGGTGATAATGTTTCTACTAGTGGTGTTACAGCTCAACAGAGTGAGAGTATAGGTACCACCCAGGCTGGAGGTGGACGAGGGAGCCACTGTTAAGCTTTTCAAGGGAGACTAGAAGTGGAGACCTTAGATGCTTTCATTATAGGTATTATCCTAGTATGTCGTCGACCTGCATCTGTATTGATTGATCAAGGGTCTACAATCTCTTATGTGTCTACCTATTTTGCTGCTTAATTTGATATAATGTGTGATAGCATGAATGTACCTATTCGTGTTTCTACACCCATGGGTAAGCCCTTAGTGGTGGATCAAGTGTATCGATCTTGTCTATTTCTTTGGCTGGGTATGACACTTGGGTAGACTTAATCATTCTGGGAATGGTAGACTTTGATGTCATCTTGGGTTTGAATTGGCTTTTTCCTTATCATTTTTTCATTGATTGTAATGCTAACACTGTGACTTTAGCGATTCATGGTGTTCCGAGGGTTGAATTGAATGGTGTTAGTGGTTCTTATCCTACCAAGGTCATCTCTTTTATCCATGCTCAGAGATTTGTGGAGAGAGTGTGTTTTTCTTACTTAGATTTATTCGGTATACTAGTGTTGAACCACCTCAAAGGGACTGTGTTCAAGTGGTTCAGGAGTTTCCCGATGTATTTCCTTCTGATCTTCCAGGTTTTCCTCCCGATAGGGATATTGATTTGGCAATTGATTTGGAGCCAAGCACTAAGCCTATTTCTATCCCTCAATATCATATGGCTCCAGCAGAGTTGAAAAAATTGAAGTATCACTTGCAGGATTTATTGTGTAAGGGTTTTATTCGCCCTAGTGTATCACCTTTGGGTTCCCCTATATTTTTTGTGAAGAAGAAGAATGGGACAATGAGGATGTGTATTGATTACAGATAGTTGAACAAGATAACGGTGAAGAATAAGTATCCTCTTCCACGTATTGATGATATATTTTATCAGCTACAGGGAGCATCATTGTTCTCTAAGATTGACTTGAGGTCTAGGTATAATCAGTTGAGGATTAGCGCATCAGATATCCCTAAGACAACTTTTTGGACCTGATATGAACATTATGAGTTCCTAGTGATGTCATTCGGATTTACTAATGTCCCTGCAACATTCATGGAGTTGATTAATGGGATGTTTTGATCACTCCTTGATTCTTTTGTGATTGTTTTGATCGATTACATCTTAGTTTACTCCAAACTGAGGAGGACCATGTTCGACAACTTGAGTATTGTACTTCAGAAGTTTAGAGAGGACAAGTTGTATGACAAGTTCTCAAAGTGTGACTTATGGCTTTTATAGCATTCTTGGGACACGTGGTGTCCAAAGAGGGTATTAGAGTAGATCCGGTAAAGATTGAGGCAGTTATTGGTTGGATGGGACCTACTTCACCTACTAAGATTCAGTGTTTTGTGGGATTGGCAGGCTATTATCGATGATTTATTAAGAGTTTCTCTAATATTACAGCTCCATTGAATAGACTGACTCGACAAGATGTGGATTTTCAGTGGTCTGATGAGTGTGTGCGGAGCTTTCAAAAACTCAAGGCTTTTTTGACTTCAGCTCCTGTGTTGACTCTACCGGAGGAGGGTGTATACTTTACAGTGTATTGTGATTCTTTAGGAGTTGGACTGGGTGGTGTGTTGATGCACAAGGGGAAAGTGATTGTTTATTCTTCTAGGCAGTTGAAATCCCATGAAAAAATCTACCCTACTCATGATTCGTAGTTGGCTGCTGTGGTATTTGTACTTAAGTTATGGCGTCATTATTTATATGGGGTAGATTGTGAGATCTTCACTAATCATCATAGTCTTCAGTATATATTTAGTCAGACGGATTTGAACTTAAGGCACCGGAGATGGCCTGAGTTGCAGAAGGACTATGATGTGACCATTCTATATCATCCAGGGAAGGCCTATGTGATGGCTGATGCTCTGAGTAGGAAGACTCATAGCATGAGGATTCTTGCAGCGCTTAGTATTGAGGATATACCATTGGCTAGAGATGTGCAAATATTAGCTAACAGTCTTGTCCGCTTGCAGATTTAAGAAGAGAGTGATGGGATCATTGCTTTTATTGAGTCTCGGTATTCCATCCATCCGGGAGCGGCGAAGATGTATCATGATCTGAGTCAGTATTACTGGTGGTGTGGGATTAAGAGGGATATTTCATACTTTGCTTGAAGGTTTTTGACATGCCACCAGTTCAAGTGTGAGCACCAGCGGCTCGAGGGTGTATCTCAGAGGATGTCTATTCCTACTTGGAAGTGGGAATGGATTACCATGGACTTTTTTGTGCTTTTTCCTACTACAATGGGTTGTTATGACTCTATTTGGGTCGTTGTTGATAGGCTGACCAAGTCTTCCCACTTCATTCCACCAGAAAAGTTAGTCGAGCTATATATCAGTTAGATTGTGCGTCTACATGGAGTTCCTATTTCTATCATATCAGATCGAGGTTTAGTATTTACTTCTCACGTCTAGAATGCATTACAACATGGTCTGGGTTCCCAGTTAGATACAAGTACATCCTTTCACCCTTAGACAAATGGTCAGTCTGAGCGGACGATTCAAGTGTTGGAAGATATGCTTCGAGTGTGTGTGATCGATTTCGGTACTAGATGGAATAGGCATTTACCCTTAGTAGAGTTTGCCAACAATAATAGTTATCACTCAAGTATCTAGATTTCCACATTTGACGCATTGTATCGCAGAAGGTGTAGATCTCCGATTGGTTTGTTTGATTCGGCGGAGATGGACTCTTTGGATACAGACTTGCATAGAGATGTTATAGAGCAAGTCCGTATGATTCACTATAGACTATTGACAGCTCAGAATCGACAGAAGAGTTATGAAGACCGGAGAGTTAGAGACTCAGTGTTTATTGAGGGTGATCATGTTTGGCTCCGAGTATCACCCATGAAGGGTGTGATGAGGTTCGGAAAGAAGGGCATGCTTAGCCCTAGATTTCATTGGACCTTTTGAGATTTTGATCCGAGTGGGAGAGGTAGCTTATAAGTTGGCATTGCCACCTAGTTTGTCTGCAGTTCATCCTGTTTTCCATGTATCTATGCTTCAGAAGTATATTCCAGATGAATCTCATGTGATTTCACTTGATTTTATGGAGGAGGGTCACGACATGACATATGAGGAGGATCCTATAGCTATATTAGATACACAACAAGGAAAGCTTAGGACCAAGGAGAATGCTTCACTGAAGGTGCAGTGGAAACACCGTTCAGTAGGAGAGGCAATTTGGGAGACATAGTCTGATATGCGTGCCAAATACCCTAAGCTTTTTGAAGCTTCAAGTACCTTCTTTTACTTTATGTTCAAGGACGAACATGATTTTTTAGTGGTGGATAATGTAATGACCCATGAGGTTATTTTTAGAAAATTTGAATTATTCGTATAACTTGAGTTAATTTATTTATGATTAATTCTAGATAATGGAATGGAAAGATCATTAGTGGGCTAGAATGATCATTTATTTAAGATCCTATACAATTACGATCATGTATAAAAAAAAATAAATTAATGGTTTTAGTCAATTTAATAAATAATTAATTTAGAAAAGAATGAGAGGCAAAAACCTTAACTGAGCGACGCACACGAGAGGAAAAAGAATAGTGATTTGCAGGTAACAATCGTTCGTACTTTATTATAATTGGATTGCTTAATTGTTTATGGCTAAAGGCAATAGTTTATGATTTTAAGATATTGAGTTTGGCGGTGCAATTAATGTGTTCTTCTGTCGGTCATTCATGGTTGGCAAATTGAGGGCATGTGAAGCCAAATTGTTGATTGGCATTAAAAGGCAATTATATTTCTATAAAACAATTAATTAGGTGTAATAAATATTAGAATGAAAATTGAGGCATCCTGTTTTAAGCATTTTAACGTGACGCTAGGAATTCAGGGAATGTTGGCAAGTTTCTGGAAATTTTAGCAAGTCTTGAAATACTTTTGGAATAAATAATGATGACCAATGATTGGCTCATTATGTTTCAATAATTGGTTGGAGGAAAGGTGTTGAAAAGACAGAAAATAGAACACAATTCTGCAACGTGAATATGAATTCATTCGAGCGTAATTTTTAGAGTCCCAGAGAGACAGCGAGTATGTATCATTAGGGAAGACATGCATCACTATACTTTACATTGCATCTCATGACATTACACATTTTTATTATTCATGAACTTTAACACGTGTTTTGATGATCTTGTGAGGGTTTCTATGTTAAACTTGTGACAGTTGAATATAGTTCATCACACCCATTTCTATGTTAAACTTGTGAAAGTTGAATATAGTTCATCACACCCATTTTTTGATCGTGACAAAGATCGAGACGAGATAATGACTAAAAAGATGGAGAAGAAGACGATGAATATCATGGTGGAAGTGTATTTAAATGGTGATAGTTTTAACCTTGAAACTTCTTTTTTAACTTAATATTAATTTATTTAGATTTGTCATAGTAAAATTATTTTTCTACATGTAGTGTAACGTTATATAATATATAAACAAATGAGAGTGCACACATCGTCGTCAGAAATATGCCAAGGAATGTTTAGGTAACTACTAAGTTATAATTCAAGTATCAAAGTTATACTCTCAATAGTTCATATATGAAACTTAAAAATTTAAGATAGTTTAATTTTAAACCTTTTAACTCTAAACATTATTATTATTATTATTATTGTTATGTTATAAATGTCTACTTTGTATTTCCTTCGGAAAAAGTAATGACTCTAAAATTTTTAGTAATCCTTATTTTAAGGACAAGGAAGTTTTCCTTATAAATAAAGAATTTTCTTGGTAATAAACCACGAAGAGAAATATTTAAGTCTTATCTTTTTCTCTATTATATTTCTGTATTATTATTTTATAATTTAATAACACATTACACACAAATGTCTAGCTTTTTATTGGAGTTTAATGTACATTATTATCGTTTTGAAAAATTAAAGTCCGATAATGTCTCTCACAACGGACTAACAATCAAGTGAGAAAGAAATCGAACACAACAATATCTATAGTGTAGTCAATAAAAAGTCGTGAAACACACCTAAATGTTGGCTAAATCCAGTGGTTTTCTAAATATGATTTTAGGCATGTATGTCCATAAACTATAAGCCCACCTACCATAGGTTCCAGAAATTTAATGATGTATTAGTTTCTTTTATTATATTATTAAAGAAAAAGGATAAAAATTCCCTAAAATTATGTGAAAGGGACAAGAATGTCCAAAGTTTAATAGTTACAAAATTGGTCAAAATGCCTTTTTTGAATAAATATTTTTTAACATGTCTTCTTGATAATTATTGAAGAATACTATTCTTGTTTTCTTTCTTCTAAAATGACTTTAACAAATAAAAATATTTCAAATATTCTTTTTCTTCTTAAGGTGTGTTTGGTATGAAGGAAAATGTTTTTCGTGGAAAATATTTGCTTGAAAATGTTTTTTTTTAAAATACAGGTAGCTTTTTACTTTTTTTTCATATTTCGTTGTTGAGTAAAAATTATTTTCTTGAAAATATTTTGTGTTTAGTTTATGAATGAGAAATATTTTTGAGAAATATCTTTTATTTTAATAGAATAAAAAATAATTTTTGAAAATGAATATATTTTTTAAGCAAAATTAAATTATTTCGGGATTTGGGGGGGGGGGGGGGCAAAGGTTGGGGTTAAAAATTTGAAGTTTAATAGGGGTAAAAAAAATGAATATTTGTACTTGGAAGTATATTTTAAAAACAATCTTAATTTTATTTTGGGCGTGGGAGGGGGGTGAGGGAGCCAGAGGTCGAGGGTAGGGGTGGCTTCCCTCGTCAACATGACATACTTTTAGTTTACCCTTGCTCAGTTTTCTCGAGGAACACACTATAGTCTAAATTTTTCTTTATTTTATTTTTGTGGAAAAGTTGAGAATAATGTTTATGTAAATTGTTTTGTTCATGAACCGCTTGCATCTATCATGATTATTATATTTTGTCATTTAATTTTGTATAATTTACATAAATCTCATAGTATAGAGGGTAGATTACATTTTATTCCTACTCTTTTTTCAATAACAATAATTCCTTAAAATTTGTACCTTTAAGTACATTATAGAGTATCTCGTAAACATATTAACATAAATTGGATACACGATATGTAACTCGGACACATTAAAAACTAGCTCAGACACATTATAACATAAACAAAATACATAATATATAGTTCCGATACATTAAATATTGACCCAAATATAGTAATATGTAGCTCTGATTCATTAAATACATTAGGAAAGAAATAAGATAGTTTTGAGATTATTAGAAATAAAAGGGAATATTGGAAATAAGGGAGACGTAAGACGTGTATTTCAGTAATTTTATCTGAAACGTTATGTTATAAAACATATATTTGCGTCAAATTTTTTCCATTTTTAGATATAAATTATTAAAGTTAAGGTGAAAATACATTTTACATTTAAATTATCTCATTGATCAGTGAAACATATCTATCTGTTAATTAGATCAAATTTGTGTCTCAATATGCTTCTAGGCGTATGTCCATAAAATCGTTCACCTACCATATGTTCTATTTGATGATACATTAATTTTTTTATAATTTTTTTAATATTCTTAATACTCCCCTTTTATATCGAAGAAAATCAATGTCAAGGGTGAGATGAGATAATGACTACGAAGGTGTAGATGAAGATGATGAATGTAATGGTTGAATAAATAAATTTATATAGTGATTGTTTTAACCTTGAAACTTCATTTTTAACTTAGTATTGAGTTATTTTGAGTTTTTGATTTGTCATGATAAAAATAGTTTTATACATGGAGTGTCATGTTATATAATGCTTAAACAAAAGAGAGTGCACACATCGTCATCAAAAATAAGTCAAGGAATGTTTAGCTAACTACAATGTGATAATTCAAGTATCAAAATTATATTATCAATAGTTCATATAAGAAACTCAAAAAGTTAACATAGTTTAGTTTTGACGCTTTTAACTCTAAATATTATTAGTATTATTGTTGTTATGTAATAAATGTCTATTTTTGTATTTGGTTTGGAAAAAAACTAATGACACTAAAAATGTTAGTAATCCTTATTTTAAGGATATAGAAGTTTTCTTTATAAATGAAGAATTTTCATGGTAATAAACCACGGAGAAAAAGAATTAAGTCTTCTCTTTTTCTCTATTATATATTTGTATTATTATTTTATAATTTAATAACACATTATGCACAAATGTTTAACCTTTTATTGGAGTTAAATGTACATTATTATCATTCTTAAAAATTAAATTCCGATGATGTCACTCATACTAGAAATCAAGTGAGAAAGAAAGAATAGAACTCCGATCCTTTGTGGAGGTGAATAGTTTAACTGTATGTATTAAGATATGCTTTATAAATATTAGGCTTGTTTGGAAGGACATCCTAATAATTGAATTTGATATAATTGGGTGTAATTACATTGTTCATCCAATTTAATTTGACAGATAATTATTTGATCAACATATAATTGGTGTAATTGGCAATGGGTAATAATACTCTACAATTCTCACGCCGAAACTATGAATTGTTGGTAATTACATAGTGTAATTACTAGATGATTACCTTTTTTTGAAATTCTTTTAACTTCTATTATATTAAGTTCGCTTTTTTTTAAAAAACTATTTTAAAACTTCATTTTTTATTATTTTATTTCATTTTCTTCTATCACCAGTCAAAACCATTTCTCATTAGCTTTGTACAATGTCACTTACTGCAACCATTTCCCATCGACACAATATCACCAGCCGGAATCATTTCTTATTGTCTTTATTACCACCTGTCTAATCACAACGTACAAGAATCAATGCAAATAGACAATTTGTACCATAAGGAAGAAACAATAGACTCAAGTTATCTACTCTACAATAATTCTATCAAAGCGTTTTATCAATTGACAATTTAGGATCAACATCAAGTCAATTCATCAAACATAACTAGCAACACATTGCCCTATTATTAATCCCCTTTTCGTTTATTAAGATCACGCAAGTGTAGTAATTGAATTCATCACTTTATTCCCATTACCCATGAACATATTTAATGAAGGGAAATACAAGATTATACGTAATTTACAAGGTTTAGAAGTTCACTTAACGTAATCCTATCAAACGTTAATCCTAGACATGTGATTTATCTTTCCAAACAATGCCTAAATCCACACAACCTTGATCAAAGAGTTAATAAAAATAAGATTCTATAAATAACAACATTCATA